TTTTTTTTTTTTTTTTTTCTGGAAGTTGCAGCAATAGCAAACGTGTAAAACTTCACCAAATCAAATTGTAAAAATCAAAACTATATTAATGCTGCTAGTTTGCTTTGAGGTCAAGTCCTGGAGACAGAACCACTTATGAGATTCTTTGTTAATGCACAATTTAATGAATTGCTCTTAAAATATGATTTGGAGAAAATGGTTCATTAGTTCCAATAGTAGTGACTTTGGCCTTAGATTTTTCTTTAATCAACATTTTTTAGATTTATACTCTGGATTTAATTTTTATTTCCATAGTGAGAGATTTGACACCCTGACTTCTATGTAAAAGGTGGTGGTCAAGTTGGGAAAGTAAAGAATGTCAGTCTCTTTAAATTAAATGTAAAACTTACATTGTTTTTGTGGAGAACGATTATGATGAACCTTTAATTACATATGAAATGGATAAAATTATTCCACAACAGTAATCTGGACATAGACTACCCTGGGCTATAGGTTATGCACATTACATAATTTTGTGTCCTTAAAGTGTGAAGAAAGATTGTAAGATGCACTGTTCTTCCCCTTCCTGCTTCTTCCTCAGTAGGTAAATGGTGATAATAGCAATTTATTTCAACGTAAGTAGTACAAATACAGATTTCAGTTAGAAAATTACTATTGGATATCCAGTCCAGGCTGGGATTGGGGAAATGGTGAAATAAAATAACATGTATGTATTCGTTTTGATAGAATAATCAAGAAGGTAAACTTTAGGAGGAATAGTTTTTTCCTTCAGTTAGACTGATTGAATGTAAAAGTTTAACTTTGGAATGTTTTAAAACCCTAAGTATGTTGTGCTTCCATTTCCTGTGTAAGAGAATCTGATGTGTTGATACTTAAAATTATAGTCCAAAAGTAAGATTTTTGTTATAGACCTGAACTTACAAATTTTTAAAGTTCTGTCTGAACATTTTTATCAAAAGTAAGTGTGAACACATACATGAAATATTTACAAAGATAATGTTTAATGTTCTAAATTAAATTTTTCTAAATTTAGAAAATTGCTACAAAACTTTTTTTTCACAAGACAGGAAAATACTAAACTCTAAATATAATATTAATTTTGATTGTAGATGTATTTATTTCTAAACAAGAGCCTGAATCAATCCATGTTTAATTGTTTGAATTACTTGCACTTATTTCTGTTGAAGAAGTTAGCATTTATAACCTTTTTCCCTTTCAGTATATTATGAAGACAATTTAATGTATTTATCCATATCCATTTGGTACGATTATCCATATTCTTTTAAAGTATTGAGTATGGGGGTACCTGGGTAACTCAGTCGAATAAGCATCTGACTCTTGATTTTGGCTCAGGTCATGATCACACGATTCATGAGTTCAAGCCCTACATTGGGTTCTGCGCTGACAGTGTAGCTCCTGCTTGGGATTCTCTCTCTCTCTCCTTTTCTCTCTACCCCTCCCCTGCTGTGTCTCTCTCTCTCAAAAAGAAATAAACTTAAAAAAAAAGTGAGAATAGAGACAATCATATTATATGCTATTGAAAACATATACTCAAGGGGTGCCTGGGTGGCTCAGTTGGTTAAGCGTCTAACTTGTGTAAACAATTCAGAGCCTGGAGCCTCCTTCAGATTCTGTGTCTCTCTCTTTCTCTGCCTCTCCCCTGCTCCACTGTCTCTATCTCTCAAAAAGAAATAAACATTAAAAAAAAACAACAACACATACCCAATACTTTATTTTTCAATGTTTATGTATTTTTGAGAGAGAAAGTGCATGTACATGCATGTGTGCAAGGAAGGGGCACAGAGAGAGGGAGACAGAGAATCCCAAGCAGGCTCCGCATGGTCAGTGCTGAGCCTGACATGGGACTTGAACTCATGAACTGTAAGATCGTGACCTGAGCTGAAACCAGAGTCAAATGGTTAACCCACTGAGCCACCTGGGCATCCCTCTATTCTCACTTTAAACTAACATACCTTGGATGCAATAAAATGTGAAATATCTCTGTATTGCTGATGTAATTAAATTAACTTTAGATTCGACAGTGCCCTGTTGATTTTTTTTTTTTTTTTTTTTTTGGTAGTAAATACTGTCTTTTATCAGCTGTGTAACATTGGACAAATCACTCATTCTTCTGTCCCCGTTTTCTCATTTCATGAAGCTTGACCTAGAGTTTTCACAAAAGCTACTTGCAGGAACACTGTAGATCTGAATATGAAAGACAAAACCTTAAAACACTTATAGTATAACATAGAATGCCTTCATGCTCCAGAGTAGGAAATTTTTTTTTTTAAACCAAAGGTCAAAGCAGCAAAGTGAACAAATTGGATTTTGTTAAGATTAAGAACTTAATGTTTATCAAAATATACTCTTAAGGTTGGAGGGCAAGTTATAGAGTAAGAGAAGATATTTGATATATACACACATATACATATAGATATTTACAAATGTATATATACATGATCCAAGAATAACCAGACTATATAAAGAATTCCTATACATTAAGAAGAAAAAGACCAACAGTGCAGTAGTAAGATGGTTAAGAGTTGAGTAAGCACTTTATAAAAGGGGATATTCATAGGGAATATATAAAGAGATTTCTTTAATAATTAAGAAAATGCAAATAAGGTCCACAATTGACTACCATTACAGAACTTATGAGAAAGACTAAAATTTAAATGATCGGCAATATAAAGTGATGATGAAGATGTGAAGCAACAGGAATGCTCCATACACTGCTGGTGGGAGTTATTGGTAATAACTGTTAAATTTGATCTATACATATCCTATGTCCCAATAATTTCACTGTTAGGAGTGTCTGTGTATACGAGTTTATTTTAGAGAACTGTGTGCTCATATGCAGCAGAAGATGCATGCAATATTATTAATAGCTGTGTTCTTTGCAAAAGTCAATAAACAGAAAAAAACAAGTGACCACTAAATGGTCATCCATTTATGGATAAATATTTGTATGAAGGAATATTGAGTAGGAATGAAAATCAATGAACTTCAGCTATGTAGGTCATAAAATGTGTGTTTTTTTTAATAAAGTTAATTTATTTATTTCTAGAGACAGTGAGTGAGCTTGCACAAGAGCAGGGGAGGGGCAGATAGACAGGATAGAGAGGGAGAGAGAGAATCCCAAGCAGTCTCCATGCTGACAGTGTAGAAGCAGATGTGGGGCTCAAACTCATGAACCATAATCATAGGCCATCATATTTGACCCCTAACAAAAATATTGAGTGAAATAGAAAAGATAAACCTCAAAGAAGATATGTATATATGGATGATTATATTTCTGTACATTTCAAAAAAAAAAAAAAAAAAAAAAAAAAAAAAAACGGTGCTGGGATGCATACCCAGGCATAAAACTATAAACTCCAGCAAGGAAATGAATATCATAAATGCTATGTGAGTGGTTACCTTTTGGGCAAGAAAGGAATGTGTTTGATGGGCAGTTGGAGGTACTCTGGTGTTTGCTTTATAATAATTCACAGTTACATCTTTGTGATTGTGCATTTTATTAATGTGTGCTATGTTTTGTGATTAATTTTTTAAAGTTTATCTTAAAAATTAAAACAATTTCTAAAGGTGAATAAATTCCAGCTATAAATCATGACTTTATAACTTTGTCCCTTCTAATTTTAATCACATGAACATATGTTTTTGGTCTTATTGTTAATGATCTTTTCATTGTTTTTTTTTTAATTTTTTTAAAAGACAATCTTTTTAAAAAATTATTTATTTATTTTAGAGAGAGAGCAAGCGAGAGTGTGAGTGAGGCAGAGGGGCAGAGGGAGAGAGAGGGAGAATCTTAAGCAGGTTCCATGCTCAGCGTGGAGCCTGACGCAGGGCTCAATCCCATAACCCTGAAATCATGACCTGAGCTGAAATCGAGAGATGGACGTTCAACCAACTGAGCCACCCAGGTGCCCCTAATCTTTTCATTGTTAATAACCAAGTGTTTAAATAGTGTTGGAAAAGAGTGGTGTGCTGAACAACCTCATACAGGAACATAAAAGTTGATAATGCACGTCTCTTTCTAACTTTGTGTTCAGTTATGTCATGTAGGTAAGCTCAAATTAGCCATGGTGGGAGTAATTACATCATGGAAATAAGCAAGAGCTACAAACCAGGGTTTTCTCTACCTTCCTGGAAACTGATTGTTAAACATTTACTAACACACCAACCACTATGCTGTTTGCTGTATCGTGTGAGAGGTATTTAAAGAGAATAATACTGACTAAACAAATGTTTACTTATTTTTTATCATATTAATATAGGCATTATTTGAACTTCAAGTTATTTTGCTTCTATGTATCTCTTCATTTTACCTTTAAAATTGAGAGGTTAATAGTATCAACTAAAAAATAAGTTGATAAAAGTATAGTTGATATAAAAGTACTATTTGGTATAGTGCACAATAAATTTTGCTATTTCTAAAAAATCATATCAGTAAGGTGAATATTTAAGAGAATGCAAGTATTTCCCTTCATCTGAATCCTCATTGTTCTTTTACACATTTGTTATAGAAATGCTGAGAAATTCTTTGTATTCCGTTGGAATATTTTCCAGATAATATTTTATTTATTATTTTATTTTTAGGTGATTCCTCCTCGGGAATGGAAGCCAAGGCAGTGCTATGATGACATTGATAATTTGCTTATTCCAGCACCAATTCAGCAGATGGTCACAGGGCAGTCGGGACTGTTCACTCAATACAACATCCAGAAAAAAGCCATGACAGTGAAAGAGTTCAGGCAGCTGGCTAACAGTGGCAAGTGAGTGCATGCAGTTTGCTATTTTTATTTTTTTCAAAGATATACACGAACATGGGAGGAAACCAAATAGAGGAGCTTGTGATGAAAAACAGTGGTTTTCTGCATATCTTCTTTCAGTTTTCATTTAACTGTTCCTGTTTTCTCTTCTTCAGGTGGTTGCCTGATTACATTTAGTTTATTCCTGAGGAAGTTGTTTCTCATTTTATCATCTTATTCATAATATCTATAAATGGTTTTTTCTATATTTTAGTTGCCCTGAAATTTTGATTCTACACATTGTTCATATTTGTTAGGCAAATTTTCTTCTTTGTGTCAGAGTGCTTAAATCTTTTTTTTTTTTTTCCTTTTTTTTGGCAACTCTGAGGTAAACTTTTCTTTCTTTCTTGGCTGACAGGACTTTTCACACCCATGCTCCTCCCAGCACCTTTTTCCTGTCCACACAGTGGCAGCGTATTCCAAAAGGTACCATAGCCATGTGGTTGGGGAGTCACTTCACATTCTAGGCTTTTGGAGTTGGGGGCTTGGGAATACTGTCCACCCCCAACAAATTTTTACCAGCAAGAGGCCATGATATCCCCAGCTCCCAAACCTGTATCCTGGTGGGAGGTGGCAATGCCTCCTTAGCTCTTCACACCTTAGAGAAGCAGGACCACAGAGGGTAAGCCACAGGCCCCCCAGCTCCAGTAGCTCCCAACACTGGCCCCTGCCCAGGTCACAATCCCAGCCCCATTACCAGGCAGAAGAAGTCTTCTCCTTTGGCTTCAGTGTCAGATGAGCCCTCCACACTAGGCAAGACAGAGGCAAAGCTGGAAGTAGCAGCAGTGGCAGAAAAGGAGCAGGCACTGAGATTGGTGGGTTTCTGGGCCAACAGCATGGGGCCAAAGGCTTTCCCAAAGTCAGGGCAAGCTGTCTGTTCATGCAGCTCTGAGAATGGCCAGTATGTGGGTGTAGTTGGCTATGACACAGGTACTTGGACACAATTCTGCTCAGATGCTAGCCGATGGCATACCAGTGATGGCATACCTGGTATCATAGGCTGGTTTCACCTCATGGGGGTTCCGCTGATCAGACCTTCTGATATTGGTTACCACAGTCCAGCTCTCAGGGAAGAATTGCAGTAGCCTGCCATGCACCTTTATGTCCCAGTTCTGATTCAGGTAATAGATAACAGGTGATGCAGTGCCCACTGCCATGTGGATTGTCAGCATGCTTCATGTTCCCCAGCCTATTGACTGAATAACATACCACCATGGCCTTGATTGTGCCTGTGGATGACATAGCCACCTAGCACCCAACATAGGGACAGATTATAGCATCCATGTGGGCCATGAGGACCCCAGTGCTTTGACAGCTAGGCTCATGGCCTTCTGTCCAGGCAGTCTGGTCCCTACAGAAGCTGCATGGTGAAATAGCCCATTGGCTCACTAGCTGCCCATCATGCTGGTGCCCACTCTACTTTAGGACCTCTGCCTCAGCCACCACATGGCCATCCAGTGCTGCCCCTAGGAAGTTCTCCTTGATACAGATGCTGCAGGATACAGTATAGTCTGGGGCCAGGTGCTTGGGCATGATGGATAGTCCCTCCTCCCCACTATTCTCCCCATTGCCACTGCTGCAGCCCATGCTGCCCTTCCCTTTGGCCTCTGCTTCCTGGTTCTCCTGTCTACCCCAAGGGCTACTTGCTGCTGCCCATTTCCCTTTGGGGACCTCAAGCAGGGCTCCCTGAGCCACCAGTTGCTAGTACTGCTTGGTGACCTGTGCTGCAGTGCCCTTACTCTACAGAGGCTGCAGCTCACCACCATCCTGCCTGCTGAAGCTCTCCCTCAGGGGGCTGACTGTGGTGGAAGTGGCTGTGGCCCTGGGAGTCCCACTCCCCACCAAGGCCTGATCAGATGCTCCTGATTGGTGGTGGGAGGGTAGCGGGGGACAGGGCAGGTAAATCTTCACACCAGTCTTGGCCCAGCCAGGATCCAAGGGCTGAGACACAGAACCTGAGAGAGCCTCACTTAGGGACTGTGGCTGGCATGGGTTGGGTTGTCCATGGCAGCAGTGTCTTCATCCCCCCGATATGAAGGACACGGCCCAGGCTCATGGTGCCACCCTCCTCTAACTCGGCCTCCTCCACTTGATTCAGCTGGGGACAGGGTGGCTGAGCCTGGTGTGAGGCAGGGTGAGGCAGGGCAGGCAGCAGAGACTCTTCTTGTGCCTTGTGGTCGCTTGTAGGTCACCAAGTCCTCTGCTGCCCTTAGGGCTTGGGAAAGGACCCATCAGGGTGGTGAGCATTTTTCTCTGCTCTCTGCACTGTTGGTTGTACCTTCTATCCAGTGCCATACACCACGCCATACCCCTGACAGTGTTTAAGTCTCAGATGATAAATTATATATTTAGAAGATGAGTAATTTAAAAAGAAAACCCTTGAATGACTTAGAGGGCCACCATTATTGTATTAGCATTATTGTAATTATACCTATTGCTGTGTAGCAAATTACCCCAAATCTTATAGCTTAAATCAATAAACATTTATTTAATATTTTAGTTTCTGAAGGTTAGGAATCTGGGAGTGGCGTGGCTAGGTGACTGTGGCCCAGGGCCTCTCGTGAGGTTACAGTCAAGATGTTAGGAGGGTGGGGCTGTTATCATCTGAAAGATTGACTATGACTGAAAGATCCTATTTTAAGATTGCTCCACTTACATGGCTATTGGCTAGAGTCCTGAGTTCTTTGCCACATGGACTGCTCTTCATGTTGTGGTAGCTGGCTTCTTCCAGAGCTGGTGATCCAAGAGAGTAACCAAGATGGAAGCCACAGTATCTTTTCATGATCTGTTTCTTGACTATCCCTTCTGTGTTATTTTGTTTCTTACAAGCCAGTTGCAAAGTGAATCCAATAGTTAAGGGGAGGAGAATTAAGCTCCACTTCTTGAAAGGAGGAGTATCAAAGAATTTGAACATATTTAGAAACCGTTACAGTTATTAAGTTACCTTTTTAAAATTTTTTAAAAATGTTTATTTATTTTTGAGAGACAGAGAGAGACAGCGTGAGTGGGGTGGGGCAGAGAGAGAGGGAGACACAGAATCCGAAGCAGGCTCCAGGCTCCAAGCTGTCAGCACAGAGCGTGACGCAAGGCTTGAACCCATGAACTGTGAGATCATGACCTTGCAGAAGTTGGATGCTCAGCTGACTGAGCCACCCAGGTGCCCCTAAATTACTTTTTAAAAAAAGTTTCTGATATGGTAGTTAAGACCCTAGATCAAAACATTAATTTGAAAAAAAGATTTAGAACCCCAAACCAACCAACTAATCAGCCAGTCAAAAAACATTGTCTAAATTCTCTGGATAGGTGTGTGTGAAATTATGCTCTTTGGATGAATTTAGTTTATATCTTTTTAAAAGAAATTTATATTTGACATAGTAAGCACTTTATGGTACTTGAAGAATCTTAATTCTATGTATAATTTTTTTTTAATGTTTATTTGTGAGAGAGATACAGACAGAGTGTGAGTGGGGGAGCGGCAGAGAGAGAGGGAGACACAAAATCTGAAGCAGGCTCCAGCCTCTGAGCTGTCAGCACAGAGCCCGATGTGGGGCTCGAACTCATGAACCCTGAGATCATGACCTGAGCCGAAGTCAGACGCTTAACCGACTGAGCCACCCAGGCACCCTTTAATTGTGTGTATAAAGTTTCTATGGAGCATTGTAGTTATTTCAAAGGAATTGAAATTTTTATATTTAATGTGAGTCCCTTCTTTAAAATTAAAAAAAAAAGTTAACGTCTATTTATTATCGAGAGACAGAGAGACAGAGCATGAGCAGGGGAGGGGCAGAGAGAGGAGGAGACACAGAATCCGAAGCAGGCTCCAAGCTCCAAGCTGTCAGCACAGAGCCTGACACAGGGCTCAAACTGAAAAACTATGAGATCATGACCCGAGCCGAAGTTGGACGCTCAACCGACTGAACCACCCAGGTGCCCTGCTTCTTGTAAATTTTTGATAAGCATTAGTAAAGCCTCATTGTTTCAGATCTCATTAATTGAGAATGTGAAACTTTTATCACTAACTGGACTAGTTTGTATTCAAACTCTTTTAAGAACTCTTTTAACAACTTACTAGTGCAATGCTATTGAAACAAGATTGTGGAAGAAAATTTACCCAAGTTTTTATAAGTATGAATGGTTTACTGTGTTCTGTTATTTATCTTCTAGCACCCATTTCCAGAGTCATTTTTAAAGTGTTAATAAAATAGGTTCATTTAGTGGAACATCTGCTTGGCTACTTTGATATTTTAGGAGACAATTTTTTTTTTTTACATATATTTATTTATTTTTTTTCCAACTTTTTTTTTTTTTTTTTTTTTTTTTATTTTTGGGACAGAGAGAGACAGAGCATGAATGGGGAAGGGCCAGAGAGAGAGGGAGACACAGAATCGGAAACAGGCTCCAGGCTCCGAGCCATCAGCCCAGAGCCTGACGCGGGGCTCGAACTCAACGGACCGCGAGATCGCGCCACCCAGGCGCCCCTACATATATTTATTTTTGAGAAACAGAGTGAGACAAAGCATGAGCAGGGAGGGGCAGAGGGAGAAGGAAACACAGAATCTGAAGCAGGCTCCAGGCTCTGAGCAAGTGGTCAGCACAGAGCCTGATGCGGGGCTCGAACCCACGAACTGTGAGATCGTGATCTGAGCCAAAGTCGGTCGCTCAGCCGACTGAGCCACCCAGGCACCCCAGGAGACAATTTGTACTTGAAAGTAATCAGACTATACTTACTAGGAAATGTTTGTTAATACCTTTAGTAATCATTTATAATCACCACACGAAAAGCTCAAAGTGCCATGGAGTTTCAAAGGAAAATAAGACTTCTGTGGTTGTTAATCAGGATAGGAATGATTTCATTTTATAGTGCTGCTGAGATGGATTTTGAAGATGGTCAGAAATGTTTTCATCAGTTACAAAAGTAACACATTCTTATTTGAAAATTCGAACATTTTAGAAACACAGAATTTTAACACCCAGAGACAATAATTGTTAATAATACATGGTAATTCAAAATATTGATGAGAAAAGAGACTGGAAGACCTTTTTTTCTTGTCATAGAGAAACTTTGATCATCATCTGTAGCCCATGTGATTACCTGAGCATGGTATTAGTTTTCTATTTAGAGGGAATTTAATTTACTGGGCACTTACTTTGTTTATATATCTGTTCAATTTTTGCACAGATGGCTTGTTTGTAGATTGTTCCTGAAGATAGCCATTCAGGTGACGTTGTTTGTTTTGTGTACCACTTTATACACTCAATACCTGGTACAGTATCTGGGATATAGTAGGTACTATTTCAGTATATGTTGATTGAATGATTAGTGCCATGAAAGCCAAAATATACTTGAGGTGGTGTCAATTACTGGACAGATTGTTGTGATTTTCTTAATGACAGAATGTACATTTCTTGACTTTCTGAAGTTTAAAAATGATTTTTAAAAATAATTGGCTCTTTTTTTAGTTGTGAAATATATTATAAGTTGCATGAAAGGTTATTCCATGTTAAAGTTTATTTTTTAGTTGGATTAATTTTGTTATAATTGCTACAATGTTAAAATACTTTTGAGAATTCTCTTTTTATATTTCATCTGCCAATTCCATGTGGAAATTTATTTCAAATGGCAATGAAATGGGTTTCTAGCCTCAATCCAAGGCTCTTGCTTGTTCACTTACAGCTGTACTAGTGTCAAATGGTGTTCATTGTGGTTGTAGGATGGTCCTCAGGTGGGGTTAATTTTCATGGGAGGCAGGAGGCGTCCTCCTGGTTTTTCTGTTCATCTGGTTTCCTTCATTCAGTACATGTCCTTGTATAATGTGCTTGGTATAAACAGTAGACAGGATAACATGCTCATTTGGTTGACAACACAACTTAATCCAACGAAAATCTAGAAACCTCCAACATAGCACTATTATAATAAAACTTTATGGAGGTAAGTAATATGCTCTCTTGTATCACTTACATTACTGATCTATACTTTCTTCTAGGAGTGGAGCTATGTGCTTTACATAATTATGTGATAGCATGCTCACAGTAATTCAATTGATATTATCCTGTTTTATAGAGGAATAACTGAGGTCTGGAGAAAGTCAGTCCTCTGCCCAGGGTTACATGGCTTATATATGGCAAAGCCTGGATTCAAAGCTCTAGGCAGGCTTGTTCTGGACACCCATCTCTTAACAATTGTAATATAGTGAATAAAAGGTTCTGGAGAAAAGGAATGGTTGGATTACTTTTGAGCAAATTGACACTGGATTTGTGGGACAGCTGTGATTGTTTGACAGTCCGTTAGGGATGAAATCTGTAGCCAACTGAGTGAACTGGTCACTTTTTTTCAAGTTTAGAATCATTGCTTGTTTCAGATATTCATAGATCTTAGAATTCATCCTCAGTAGCCAATACTGAACCACATGTTTCCTTTTTAAAGTTATAGGTTGTTAAAAATTGATCATGATTGAGTAGTAAATAGTGTGATAGATTCTTTAGGTCATCTTATAGTGAAAGGTAATTTAGGACTTCTGTATCCAAAGTCCAACAAATTTCTCTGTAAATCGAAATAAACAGTATCTCTGTTACCTTTTTTATCGCTTGAGTCTGAACTCTGGTTAGCTTGCTTAGCTTGTGCCTAGAATTCATGTTACTACTGGAACCTACTAACTGAAGTGGTGAAATACAGTGGAGTTAATGATACTTTCATGCCCATCCCTTTTATTTTTGGCTGTCCTGTTGAAATTCTAATGATTTGAGTAAATCAGAAAATTATTATGTATTTCAAATACAGTTGTTAAATTGTTTGGTATTCTTGCTTATTGCTTAGATAACCAGTTTGGGGTCCCAGTATAGTGTATATTGATTTTGCTTGTTCTACAGTTATTCATTCTAAAATGTTCAGTAGGCTTTATTGGGATTGCTCCTGCTGCTAAACACTCTTTTTACTGCTAAACAAACTGTTTCATTACCTTCTTCATTCGATTTCTCTTTTTAAATGTAGAAATAATGGTATTTTGTGTTGTGTGTGTGTGTTTGTGTGTGTGTATATTAATATAAGATTATTTGTTCACAATCCAAATAGGACAGAGAAGCAAGTGCCTTTCTGTAATTCCAGTGTGAAAGATAAACATTAATATTAATAATATGGTATATATTTTCTTTTTGACCATTTGAGTACAGTTATAGATATTTTTTACATAAATATTATCATAGTATTCTGTAACCTGCTTATTAATTCACTGTGGAGAAATATTAATGTCAATGCATAGGAAGATCTACCTTATTTTGTATTCTGTATTTTATTTAAGCCCTTTTATTTAACTAATCCTGTAAAATTTAGTATAGTATAATTGGTTAAAGATTTTAGAAAATATTTTGAAAGATAAATTAATGAGTTTTTAACTGTTCTCCTTATATATTTGGTACTTTCATGAGAATATTTTCCTTACTAGTCAAAAATATAAAGATATTATAAAGAGTTATTTAGGAATCTTAAGAGTATTCAGAGATCTATGATAAATACATTGGGATATTTACTCACTAGATTTGACAACATGAGTTGTTGCAGTGTTTTCATTTTGATAAGATTTTGTTTAGAAAGTGATTTAAGAAGGGGTGCCTGGGTGGCTTAGTCTGTTGAGTGTCCGACTTCGGCGCAGGTCATGATCTCGCGGTTCACGAGTTTGAGCCCTGCATCGGGCTCTGTGCTGACAGCTCAGATCCTGGAGCCTGCTTCAGATTCTGTGTTTCCCTGTCTCTCTTCCCCTCCACTGCTCGTGTTCTCTCTTTAAATAAAACATTAAAAAAATTAAAAAATAAAATGATTTGAGACATATGGGTGGAGAAAATCTTATAATTGTCATATGGTTTGTGCTCTTTTAATTTACCTTTTGCAGATACTGTACTCCAAGATACTTGGATTATGAAGATTTGGAGCGCAAGTATTGGAAGAACTTAACTTTCGTAGCACCCATCTATGGCGCCGACATTAATGGAAGCATATATGATGAGGTATATTTATAGTGTAATGGATTTTGTAAAGGACACCTTTCCTATTTTTGTTACCATTTTAGATACATGAGAAGTAGTCATTTGTTATGCTTTGTGTGATCCACAATTCCTCATAGGACAAGAAGAAATAAAGACACATCAGGATTTCTGCTGCTGGTATTTGTCAGATTGAAACCACCTACTGGTACAAATATCTGAAATTGTTCAACAGTAATATATTATGTGGTTATCTGGCTGATCTTTAAATTACACTAAAATTTTTTTAAGCAAAACACCTTTTAAAAATATTGGGAAAACAGGAAATATAATCCATTTATAATGCCACCTTAAGGCTAAAACAGTATTTTAATATGTATTCTTCTAGTAGTTTTCCCCTAGTCATTTAAAAAAGTTATATTTGAGGGGCGCCTGGGTGGCACAGTCGGTTAAGCGTCCGACTTCAGCCAGGTCACGATCTCACGGTCCGTGAGTTCGAGCCCCGCATCAGGCTCTGGGCTGATGGCTCAGAGCCTGGAGCCTGCTTCCAGTTCTGTGTCTCCCTCTCTCTCTGCCCCTCCCCCTTCATGCTCTGTCTCTCTCTGTCCCAAAAATAAAAAATAAACGTTGAAAAAAAAAAGTTATATTTGAATAGGTTTATTCTCCTTTTTTTCCCACAAATTGTGAGAATTTTTCTCTTTTTTAAAAAGTACATATTATTATAGTCTTTCCAGTATTATTTATGTGGCCATAACATGCTTGAAATAAACCAGTCCTTTTTGCCTCCTGGTAATACATGTAAATGCTGTTTTTTTGTTTTGTTTTGTTTTTTGTTTTCTTTTTATTTTGAGAAATGTCTTAACTACTGAAAGGTTGGAGTAGTGCGATGAACACTTGGATAGTCTTCATTTAGATTCACCAGTTGTTAATATTTGCCTCATTTCCTTTGTTTCTCTGTTGCTCTGCCGTTGTCTCCCTTTGTCTCTTTCTTTGTCTCTCTGCTATAACATTTGAATGTAAGTTGCAGACATTTTGATAGTTCAACTTTAATTATTTCAGCATGTGTTTTAATATCATCTAATATACAGATCACATTCATGAGATCCTAATTTTGCCAATAATATTTGTAAACTGGGTTTCCTCCAATCTAAATGATCCAGTAAAGAATTTCTCTTTATAATTAATCAGTGATTTATAGAGTGATACTTAGAGGCTAGATAACTGTCCTGTATCCCAGCAGCCTTTCACCCAGTGAATTTACATCCATTGATAATCTTTGCCCGAATCAGTTACTATAATATTTTTAAACTTTTTGTATTTTGAAACATAAAATAAGGTAGAAAGTACACAAAACAGAAACTTAAAGCTTCATAAATTATTGCAAGGTGAACATCTGTGTATCATCACTGACATCAAGGAATATATTTACTAGCATACTAGAGTTCCCCTACACATCCCCTTCACTCATCGTATGTTTTATCCAAAGATGATCACTATTCTGACTTTATGGCAGTCACTTCTTTCTTTTCCTTAAGAATATAGTTCATTATATTCTGTTTCTGAATTTTATATAACCAGAATCATTCAGTGTATATTCTTTTTGTCTGGCTTCTTTCATACCTTATAAACATTTCTAAATTTTTTCTACATTCATTTTCTTTGCTCTATAATATTTTATTGTATGAATATGCCTTAGTGTATTTATTGTTGTGCCACCAAGGGTCATGTTGGTTGTTTTAGTTTTTGCTTTTATGAACAAAACTTTCATGGATGTTCTGCACGTGTTTCCCTGAGCATGGAATGGTGTGTTTATATTGGGTGTATGCCTAGTAGTGGTTATAGGGTATGTACATAGTTAGCTTCAGAAGAAAACTCTTTTCCAGTTTGCACCTTCTTATAGCAGTGTTTTCAGATTCCCCATTGTTCACATCCTATCTAATATTAGGTATTGTTGGTCTTTTAAATTTAGCCATTCTGTTGGGTGTGTGTTGTAGTTGTGGTTTTAAGTTGCATTGTGATTTTTTCCCCTTATGTTCATTGACTGTTTGGATTTTCCCTTTTATTGAGGTACCTTTTTAAGACTCTTGAATATTTTTATTTTGTGTCATGCTTTTCTTACTGCTTTATACTTCTTTATACATTCTAGATATGAAATAGTGGCACAATTTAAAATTTTCTAGTTGGATCTCTAAATTGAAAGGAACATTCTCATTTCCGAATATGGACTAGACATTAGATGATACTGTGGAATTATTGTTGTCCTATTAAATATAATGATGGCATAGTGACTATATTTTTTTATTAATTACAGATACACATTTAAACATATGCAGGTTAAATGACATGGGGTCTGGGATTTGTTTTTAAAATACTTTAGAAAATAAAATGGTTTGGATATAGTTGAAAGAAGATTGAAAAAATATTGGTAATTGATGGCACTAGATGATAATACATGGCATTTTAAATATGTGTATGTTTGAAATACTAAAATAAAGTTAAAAAAAAGAGAAAACATTCCCCATTGCCCTTCTGGGTTTTCATTAATACAAGTAAATTCTGTGTTGAGAATTTGTTTATTAAGGTAGCATATCCTTATGTGGAAAAATGAAAAAATATAGGCAAATATGAAGACAAAAATAAAAATTACCTATAAGCTTACCAAACGGAAACAACCTCTTTATGATTTCCTTTGGCTTTTCATTTTATGTGAGTGTGTATATATGTATGCACGTGATTGCACCTTAGTGTGCGTTTCCCCAAACCACCAAGGAAGTTTTAACAGTTTTTGACTTTAGAAACATTTTCTAATATTGCATTTTAGAAGATCATTCAGTGAATTCTAGTTCCTGCCATGTTTAGATTGCCACATTGTAATTAGTATTAGATTATTGCTATATATATTTTTTATTTCATTTCTAGTTTATTCTTAATGATTTATTCTTCAGTGATAACAGATATATTTTTAAGCTTAACATGTTATGATTACTTATATCTGGGAAAATGAGCACCATTAACAGTTAGGCTTCCTTACAGAACATGGCACCTTGTCTTTTGTTTTTTAAATTTTTTTAATGTTTTTATTTGTTTTCGAAGGAGAGAGAGACAGAGCATAAGCAGGGGAGAAGCAGAGAGAGAGGGAGACGTAGAATCTGAAGCAGGCTCCAGGCTCTACGCTGTCAGCACAGAGCCCGATGTGGGGCTTGAACTCACGAACTGTGAGATCATGACCTGAGCCGAAGTCAGACGCTCAACTGACTGAGTAACCCAGGCGCCCCCATGGCACCTTGTCTTATGAAAGTAGCTTCTGTGGGATTTCCATTGGAATGAGTAAGGCAGAGTAAATACTGTTGACATTTTATATTTGAGACCTAGGGAGATATTTCCAAAGTTCCTAGGCTAGTAGAGGGGCTGCCAGGTGCTCTTATTACCTCTCCTACCAGTTTTATTATTATTTTTTTTTATTTTTTATTTTTTTTATTTATTTTTTTTATTTATATATGAAATT